CTAAATACAATTTATACATAAATTCGTACAAAATAGTTTTTTAAAAAGATAAATTATTAAATCTTTTATTAATATATCTTTTTAATAACATATTTAGTTGCATGTTGGGATCTTTTCTTTGCTTTAAATTATTTGATTAGCTTTTATCTATTATCAATATATAAAATAGTTTGCACGGACTTGTATTATTTGATACAATTTGTTATATATGTACATATAAATCTTAATATCAATAAAGCCAGATGGGAACATTTTAATTTAAATTTTTACGTTTACATAAAGAGAGTGTTATTTTTAAATCTAGAAAGTTCAGCAATAAGGACTGATTACCGCGGAAACATAATCGTAAAATTGTGCAAAGCGTAATGGAACTTGCATGAAATTTCTACCAGGACGAAGGGTCCGCTGTTCAAGTTAAAGGCTCGCAAAACTTTCGTGAAAGTTTATAATGCAAAGCGACGGGAAACAGCGAGGACAAAGACGAATTCGTGGATTCTTGTAACAGCTTTCGCGAATTCGGAAGACGGAAATTTCTTTCAAGTGAAACTCGTGCCGATCGCGCCCTTGATTTTTTCTTCTCTGCGAAGTTTTCAGGGACAGTAGGCATACCGCTATATCACTGTCTAGTTCCTTTGTCATGTATATCCTTTTGTCGGAAACCATTATATAAATTTTATACATGCACGTTTCTCGACGAAATTATTGAGTGCAATTTACATGATTGCACGGAGTTAACATGGTAAGATCTCATCCCGAGTGTGTTTATTCTTTATTCTTTCCCCGTAAATCGTTCAACAGGTTTTTTTCTACAAAAATCTGAGTTGGCGCCGTCATGTCCGCTGTCAATAACCTGATCGTAACTTATACGGGGTTCACAGTAGGTTTACGAAGTGCGTAATTAAAGCTTATTATTTTAACGAGCGTTGTAGCAGCAGATAATTACGCCCCATATTTTATATTTATAAATACTAACTAACGAGTCAGTTTTCAATTGAGATCTATAGTATACGAGATATATACAAATAAACATATAGACATAGACTTGGACATAGATTGTCGAAATTTTAGACATATCTTTTTGTAAACTAAATTTGAAGTTAAATCTAAAGTTCAATTTTTTGGCACTTTACGTTACGCAGAAAATACAATATATTTACTTCAACTAATTGATAAACACTTTTATAGACTGAAAAACAAATCTTTTTGATACCAAAAGAAAGTTCAACTTTATAGCATCTTTTTTAAATGTTTTTTCTAATATTTTTATAAAAATATCGCTTTCAAAAGGTTTTAAAATTGTTTTATTTTAATGTATTGCTATATTTGCAGGATGAGTTTCACTCATTATTGTATTATATATTTTAATTATTGCTCATAACAGTACTTTTGTAGACATACTTTCATATGCCGAGACATAATGCAGTATTTTGTAATCTAACGCGTAAATTGAACGCGAGCAGAAGCAACTCTTCCGCATAATTAATTAAGTAGTATACGTTAGCAAGAATTATGCCACTGTATATTATTATGCTTATCATCTCGCATGAGAAACGTGAGACATTTCCATCGTCGAGCAGAGTGAAAATTCTTGATGACATTTGCAAATGAAATCAGGCCATTAAGGTACTGTCTCTTCCATCTTGTTCCGCACTATTTCCATGAAGACAATGCGATGTTACTTCCGACCTGTCCGCATTCCGCAGTTATTTTGCAGAAAGATGACAGCGATATTGCCAGTGCCTCGCGATTAATCTGCATACTCGTCTCGGTAACGATTTGTTCGTCTGAGCACAAGAAATATGAAATAAAACTTTGAAATTTATGTGTAATTAGATTCTCTTTCTTGTTTTGACTGAACTCCTGAAAAATATTGAGAAAAATTCTAAATATAAAAGATAGAAATTTCTGAACGATGATTTTTTTAAAATAAAAATATAGGTATATATATGACTAATGAGGTGTATATATGACTAAAGATAATGTAATTTTAAGAAATTAGGCAGCAATTAAATTATTAAACAAATATTAAATTTCTTAGTTCTTAAACATCTTATGAACGATGATCGTACATGTATGTATATGTATATGTATATGTATACGTGTACGGATATATAGTATTAAAACAATTTTAGAAACTTCTATTATAATTTCCATATTCGCCGCAGTGCATGAGAGGTCTGTTCTTTCTACGATAAGACGAAGCGTATCTCTCTCACGTACCTCGCGTTGGATGCCGGGAGCACGTCTCGTAGTGACATTTGCAAATGATGTTAGACCGTATTAACGTACCATCTTCCATTTACGTGGCACTTTGCGAGAGAGACCAAGCGAAAGACTGCGTCTTGTTCCCGCTCCTTGTGTGACTTCGCGCAACCGAGCAGAGCCGAGCCGAGTCGAGTCGTTCCTAAACTAGTTCCAAGTTAATCGGTGACGGCGTTACCATTATGGTGTAGAGTTGCGAGGACCGGAGACCTCCTGGAAAGATGGTCTAGCGGACAGGCCGCGGGAAAAGGGACGATTTGCATTTTAATTGCACTGGCAACCTTCCTTGCCGCTCTCGCTGACACTCGTTTTTCGCGACTCCAGCCAGCTCTTCCCAGTTTCTCACAAAGATTTGCTTGAATATCATCGGCATTTTTTATTTAAATTTGCTGTTGTTAATTACAATTCTTGGGAATACAAATCACGTTTATGGTACGATAATTTAAGAGGTTGATACTTCTGCGTGTTCGTCAGTGCGCTAAATATATTGCCAGATGTTGCAGCAGCGATTAGTGAAATGTGGGATGAGTGCTCATAATGTCGAATAATATTATTTTTGTACATCCGTTACTAAAATCTTCTTGAGATACTTTTTCTTGCGTTTAAGAAATTTGTCTGTTTTAACTTCAAACAGATTTATTGTAAATAATGATATAAAATTTTTTAAACATATAAGAATTGTAAGTTTCAAAACAATTGGAAAAATAAAAAAGTTGTATACGTAAACTGTGAGATTTACAACAAATATATTAATTATTTAAATGCAAGAATAAAAATACGAATCGAATTCAAGGATCATATGAAATCTGCTCGTATTTTACGTAATAATTATTTTACAATGTGAACGGCTAATTATCTTATTTATATAGAATTTTAATTGTGTTTTTCTGGAATCTCATAAAATCTGAAGAGCATAATGTTGTCTCTCGTTTTTCGTTATCTTTCTCTCTTCATTTTCGCGCGTAATTGAACGACGAATAATGGCGCGCAGAAGTTCCTGCGAAGGGATAGTCGCGAACTTTGCCGCTAAGTTTCCCTTGTACCCCTTGGGCCATTAATAAATTTCACGCAACCGGATAATCGATGATTCGCGGACATAATGTGAGAATGGCTAGGAGTATTATTACCTAATGGTTATTAGAGATATATGAAATAATAATTTACTTGAATACCAAGTACATCGATGTTGTATTTTAAAACGCGTAAAGTATAAAAGTATAATGTGTTATTAAAGCGCACATTATAAGATAATTGTTCTAGACTCTTTCTAATATTATCATCTATAAGGTAAATCTAAAATATTATAAATATAACTTTACATTAAATACAATGAATATATATAGATATTGATATAAATTAATTATGAATATATATTGAATTATCAAAATATACAAATATGTACAATACATGTTACATTACTTTAATACACATACAATTATTTATGTACTATCTGATTATTATTATTGTAAAATTAGTCTGCTATAAATGCGTAGAATACTTATTGCCACATTTTGGTACAATTTCTTTTGGTACAATCTTTACAATTCTTTAAATTAAATTAAAACATCGAAATGTAATAAAATATGTAACTACAACAAATGATTAAAAATGTTTTGTACATACAGTATTTTGCTTAATTTTGCGGCATATAAAATAATACTTTTATAATTAATAACTAACGCACACAAATAATTAACGATAGATAATAGCTTGTGTTGTAAAGAATTGTTTAAATAAAAAATTTTAGTTTTAAGTTATACATACAAATTCGCAAATAGGATTTAATTAATATAAAATATAGTAACTTAACAATCTGAAAAATTTCCTAAAAATATTCAATATTTTAGATATCTCAAACTTTTATATTGTTTGAGAAATGTAATCATAAATAATCGCTACTTGAGATACATAATTCGAGAATATATACCATTATTCGCACGCGTGCTTAGAACAAGCTTGCGCATGCTAACCCTAGTAAATTTGCGTTAAGAGCGGTTGCAGGCCGGTCTTCCTAGTCTCTTGGCAGAACTAGTTTAGATACAACTGTCACCCCGTTGTGACAGCGTTCGTAACACCATAGTACCACTGTCTGTGCTTGTTTTACGACTTGCGTTACCGGCTACAATGGCGGTTCCCTTACACCGGGAAGTTAAGGTCTTCCTTCCTGAATTCATTCCGCGGCCCATCAGCGTTTCCCTTTGGTATTTGTCCTTCGAATTATTCAGTCGACCTGGCTCTCTCTTGGCCCGAGAATCAGAAAGTAGCAAGAATCTCTCGTTGTTGACGCAAATCGCAGCTGTCTTAAATAAATAAGGGCCACTGTGTCCGGTTTAAGCGATAGCTTTTTATTTTTATGTTTTAATGTTTCGCGAGATGCATATGAGATCAGATTACTAAGAGATATCCAGATGATATGATATAAATAGATTAATATTTATAAAATAATAATGCATTAATTTTTTTAATGGAAAACATCGCTGATTTTTTTGTACGATTCAATTTTTTTTTAGTAACTAGATAATGAACATTAATCTCCGAGATGATGATAATAGCGCAATAATATATTTTATAGTTTATCTTTATGATAATTTTAAGTTACAATATATATAAATTCGCAATTTCTTTTCAAAGCATCGAGATTAATTTTACAATAAAATAAAACGTTGATTACAAAAAGAATAGACGTTATTTATATAATAATTAACTAATAATAATTGCATACTTCGATATTAAAATTAGTTAACATTTCACTTTTTGCATCTAATTTTCTAGTTGCATCCCTGAATGGGATTGAATATGCAACGCTGATTAAATGCAGCCGTTCCCCCAACACGCGCACCATGGCACATTACCACTACTAGTACTAGTCTTGCGAGTTTTCGCGTGGGTGATTTCCCGGCTACTGACCGAGTTCGTTCTTTCACGGTCTGAATTCAACGCGATACCATCCGTAAACTTGTCTTTGGCATCGACACTACCACTCCTCAATGTTTTTAATGAAGCTTGAGACGGTCGTCTTTTAGAATTAATGTAGACGGATACCTTTCGGTTTTGATCCTTACGTGGTGATTCTTGTCCTGAGGACGATGACCTGCTTTCGTTCTTGTTCTCTTGCGCATCAGGCGTCATCGTGCTTAATCTTCTCGGTTTCTTCCGTGTTATTTTCCCTTGCGAATCGAGTGTATCTGTCGACGTGGCGGTAATCTGTTTTTTCAATTTTCTTTGTGTTACCGGCGATAGCGGTTTTTGGTCTTTAATTAGAATTTTTTCTTTTTTCACGATTTTTGTTCGTCTCTGTCCGTTCGGCGAATTTGGTACGCTAATTGTCTCTTCATCCTCGTGATGCGAGTCGCCGTCAATTGATGTCTGCGTTTGCGCCGGTACCTTTGTGACGTTATCATAGTACATCATTCCACATCTCGGCGAATAAAATTGACCTCGCGATACGAAGGGAACATTCTGGTACAGATGCTGATTCTGCAGATATCGATTTGCGTTTAATCTTCTCAGAGTCGTCAAATCGTAAGGCGTGGCGGAAGGTATTAAGGTGCAAGGACTCGGTTTCTCGAAGGAAGTTACTTGAATATCCTGCTTGCCGCTCATCAGTTGGTCGCTGGGTATCAGCAATCGATTCTGATCCGATATATGTGCAGTTCGAAATTTCTCGTTGAGGTGAACACCTCGACTGTAACCCGGCATAGGATAAGCGAGGCTGTCATCGTTTACGTGAATAGAGAGTGGCGTCGTGGTGGCAGGAGGATTCGGTTTTACTTGATAGTTGGGACAGGTCTTGTCGAAGTTTCTTAGAAAAGGATTCCTAAAGAGACGGTAATCTATTGAGGGTAGATTGGGTACCTCTGGTGTCTCTGGACTAGATGTTTGCTCAGTTCGTGGTACTTTTAATGTCACATTTAGGTGACTCTTGTACGGTTTATTAGAGAAACCACTTATATTATCCAAAGTATTGTCACTTTTCGTGAGTATCTGAGAATCAACGTGATTCATTTTTAATTGTTGCGCACTTTGCGATTCACTCGAGAGATCTTGACAGGAGACTGATTTTGTCAATTGATTACCTAGAGCACTTCTGCTATCCGTGATTAGTAGATTATCTATACTCAAAAATGTCTTTGGATCATTTTTATCTTTTGAAGCGTCTTCACAAGGTATCGCGCCGTTTATATAAATATCCGCCGAACCTTTTAATCCTGCGAAAGGATTAATCCTAGAAATAATCGTCGAAGCCGTTTTGCCACTGCTCGAACTAGTTCCAGTTCCAAAATGACTTATACTCGCGGTTGGCGACTCTTCTTCTTGTTTTTTTAGCTTGAAAGGTTGTGGCGAGAAGAACGGTTTAGGCTTTTCTAGTCCCGAGAACATCATAGTCTCTTCGTTCTCAATTCGCTGCATATCCTTTTCTCCATTTACCATAACGGATCCAAGAGAATCCATGTTCCGTACATTTTTACCGGTCGTTTCTTCGGAAAACTGCGTTCGTGAATCTTGAATAGTTGATGTTTCATAAAGTTTTGTGGGTTGTCTCGTACTTGCATTTCTTCTTCTTAACAAGCTGAAAATATTTGACGGCAGCACTGAACTTTCCACTGAGGAAACTATCGGCGAGTCCGGCTTTCCTGTTGTTGATACGACAGGAGTGATGCTATTCGTATAAGTAGGTGCTTGTTTTTGAGAGACCATGTCGTTTTGCCAACCGATGGGCGGGACGTGAATTTGAGGTAACATCGGATCGGCTACTTCTAAACTCCCGACGTCTAAGTTGGTCAGCGGGATCAATGGATCAGACTGTAATCCGGAGTATGGTGAAGCCAATAATACGGACGTGTCCGTGGATAGCATTAAATCTATCGTACTTGGGAACTCGAATGGGCATTCGGTGTAATAACTGGTTCCGCTGAAACTACTCGGCGGCTCGTACGTGGCCGGATAAAACGGGATGTTATCGTGAAGTTGTCGGGGATTGAGAATCGGCGGGGGTGGATGCCCGACAGCCTCGTTTCCCTGATCCTTCTCCGGTGTCGTCTCCTTCTTCTCCTTATCTCTCTTTAGCTCTTCCTCCTCGTCAACAACCGACAGATCGTCGAACTCCACGTGAAGTCGATGCATATTGCTGCTCATCTTCTCGGAAGAGATCTTCTGATTCTCCGCGTTTTCTAGCTGTTCTTCTTGGTTGAAGTCCTTGACCGTCTTCTCATTATCTTCGCACTCCTCTTCGTCTTCCTCGCAGGAAAAGTCCGATTGCAAGCCATCATCCTCCTCGGAGCGATCCTGTAATTCGTGGCATGTTCCTACATATCATTATTATTAATTATAGCAATTATGTTTTTATTAGTTAACATTTTAAAGAAAGGATATAGGAACGGAGTTTTGTTGTTAGTTTTCTTGTTATTTATTAATGTGGTCTCATTATATTGTATTATATTATTTTATTATGAATTACAGCATGACGCAATTAAAAATCTGCTAACCTCGTACTCTTCGCTTTCATCAGGGTTCTTCTGTTTCTTCAAAATTTCTTCAAGTTTGTCGTACTCGTCCCTGAGACTCCATATTTCTCTACGCAGCTGCTCGTTCTCTCTGCGCAATTTCTTGATATCATTCTGACCTGAAATCATGACAGACTAAAATGTTTCGATGTAACGAGACCGTCGAGTGAGATATTCTTATAAGCAAAGAGATAAACCGACATCTTCGTAGATTTGATTCGCAATTTTTCTCGCGGAAATCACTCAATCACGATTCGATACAGGGACCAGTAACATACTGCTGGCTGCTTACAATAGCGTTGCATCTATTGGAACGATCGATCATTGGTCAACGTGGCAACAATCTCCGCTTGAGACGCCAACCTCCTCTCTAACTCTGTGCGCTCTTTCGTGCGTCAAGAAGCCGGTGATAAATCACTAGAACCGGGCCTTCCAATTACTTAACTTTGCAGAGAGAGAGAGAAAGAGAGAGAGAGGGGAGAGAGAGAGAGAGAGAGAGAATAAGGCGAATAAACCTCGCGTATAACGTGTTAAATCTTTTCTGTCTATCACAATACAAACTCTCAAAATTCTTCCAATGATAGAAATACCGAAAAGATTTCGTATATAATATATAGGTACAAAGGTCAGAATAATTTTAAGTATTGATGATCTTCGATCCATCTAAATATGAATTATTTTATTAGTCATCGATCAAATAGTCAAAATTTAAAGTTTAAAAACAGAAAAAAACATATTATATATATATTTTATATAAAATATGTTTTTTTAATATGTTTTTGAATACTTTATATTATGTTTGCTACATATGTACTGTTTGCAATTTTATGCATTTTAGAAACATAAACATGTATTATGTAGAAACTTTATAAACTTATATCTAGATTTTTCAGAATCACTCCTTGTGTGACAAATTCTCAGTTTATACATCCTTTTTTGTATATATTATACTGCAAGTATCTAAAATCAGTCAGGTCGGATGATGTATGCGGATGCAAGCTCCATTGTTGGAAACGAAGTCGATCAGTTTTTCTTTTTAAGCGTTAGTGATCTCCGACCCATCTAGATGCGAGTTAAGTTAAGTATCTCATCAGTCATCGGTGCCTCCTACTTCGATGATTAATGGGTTTGTGCTTGAAACGTGTTTTCCCAGCGCTTGAACTACGACCCAATCGCGGAAGTTTTCAGATAATTCTGCGATCTATACCGTTACATGCTTTTTATTACTTATACGTTGTATTCGTCTTATATATCTTTTTTTAAAATCGACTAGCTGGTGTTTCAAGCATCAGTTGCTGGAAAAAGATAGTAAATCAGAAGAAAGAATAAAATTGAAGATTTATCTTTTGTATAGAAGACTCTACGAGATAAAATATCAGTGTATATACTCTTCTGTTTGTAACGCGTTGCATGCTTTGCATTTATTTTTATAGTATCCTGATTTCATAAAGATTTAATTTATTTACAGCGAGCATATACGAGTACAGTTACATATGGATATATTTTCTGAATTTTCATACGTATAAAATCACTTACGATTACATAAATAAAAGGTTGGTTTGTAAAAACTTTTATTATTTTTCTAATTAGCTCTTTCCATGACACGAAATATTGTCTGTCGATTATTGATTTTTTTATGATTATTTTATGATGCGCATTCACAAAAATTGCGTGAAAGCACTTGTGATAACAATTCTTTTAAGCCTAGGTAGTAAGTGTGCATGTGCGTGTAACAAGGAAAGCCTTGTGGTAAATCAGGATTTAAATCTGGCTTACTAGTCTGAAATTTAAATAAATTAAATCCTTCTGAAGGTTCATAAATTCGGATTTTCCCTATGGACCGATGGCTATTTGGTTGCTATTAAAACTTGGTTCATTTATCTTCTACATGAGCTCTGTTTGAAAATGCGATATTTGTTCAAATGTACTGCATTCGACCATTGATCTTTTTATTTGTATCGATGATGGGAAATATAAAAACCATCCGATGCAATTCAAATGTATTAATTTCCCGACTTGCATGTTCCTGAAATATTTACTTTATAGCAATTTTTTTGGATAAATAGAGACATGTTTTTACTGTCAGTACGAAACGCACTAATGAAAAGCGTTTTATTTTATTTTTAATATTAACTTTTTTGAGTATGTAAATAAATTTTTATATGAAATTTATTAACTTTCGGGAAGTCGCGGTATATCTCAGAGATACAAATATTTTACATCGACATTGCAAGGTAATCTTTTGCAAAAAGAGAAACTAATATGGAAAATGTTGTTTTATTCAAATAATTACAATTTATTAAAATTTATATTTTTCTGTGCGATATTGCAATCCCTCTCAACTGCCTGTCTGACCACATACGATGTGCTGTTAGAATTTTAATGACTCATATAACAGCTACTGTTTACTAATAGGTGTCGTTAAAGATATTTACGAACACATTTTGATGTATCTCTTAGGTAGGTATAACACCTCCCGAGGATTAAGTATTTTCGTTATTCATGGATTTTAGAAATTTTGACTAAGGCAAAGTTAATTAAAAATTTGCCAAAAAATTTGCCTTTAAAATAGTTTTTAGAAGTATTTGGAATATAAGTACGCACAGGTGGAATAAAAAAAATTACAGTTAGTCTGTTGGATTCTCTAACACGCATGGCATTTACGAGCGACATACAAAAGAATGAATATTACATTGCTTATAGATCTTATATCAAAATAACATAACGATTTTTTATTCGAGTATAGGAAAGCTCGTTGGCGCGAATACGCCGATATTTTTAGCTGCGTGCAGAATATCCTTCAATCAACCATCAAGCTGAATATTTGCGAGCAGCGACGTAAAATGGCTCACTGAAAATGCTTTCGGCGACCGGTGTCCATTTTATTTTCGATAGTGACGATCGTGACAGTTCGAATTTCGTATGGGATTATGAAATACATGTACCCTGGAGCATAAATTTTTGCTCAAATTTCGGAAATATCGGTTACAATATTCTATGTTACTTTAACTTGTGGTAGTTTCATATAATACGAAAATGACAGGCTAAATTTGAAGAAATATGCATATCCAATATTGATATGCGTATCATAAGTTATAAATTAAAAAAATAAATTGTAGATTGAAAAGTTATAAGTTAAATTATCTTAAATTTGTTCAACTGTTTTAACAGGACATTTAGTCAAGTGTCAAATCAAGTATTAAGTACCTACCTCAAGTAATATTACCTACTTGATTTAACAGTTTAGTGATTTAATATGATGATTGTGTTTAATATTTGAATAAGAATCAGATAATTGCTTTTAAAATTAAGTGTAAAGCAATTGGTTTAACATTTGGCTTTCTACTCTCAATTTATTGACTCGTCTCTCGTTCACTAATGTTCTATTATAGCCATGGACACTTATAGAGAATCTTCCCGCATGCATACTCTATTATTTCTTTACGTCATACCGGTCAAGGTACGCTTTATTCTTTGCTTGTGAGGAAAGGGAAAGAGAGACAGAGAGAGAGAGAGAGAGAGAGAGAGAGAGAGAGAGAAAGAGAGAAAAAGTTTTAATTATTCCTGCTCAAACACGTACCAGGAAAGTTTAATCACTTGGTACCGTCGGCATCGTGTTCGTCCTTATTTCCGTCGCGTGGAATCCTCTGCGCCTTTAAAAGTAGTGTCGGTCCGGTATTTCTCACGAAGGACCGACATTAATTAATCCTGGCAGTTAAAAAGACCGAACTGTCCTCTTCGCATTCGGGTCGCATCGCCTTTCGGAAGGCAAAGCACACAAATGTATCTGTACGTACACAAACTCGTGAATCTGCGTTTTCGAAAAAAGAAAGAAAAATTGTACAGGAACGGAAACGAGAGTGTGGGCGTACAAGCTTTTGCGTTTTTCGTCAGTTTCTCGTCGGTCTCCTTTCGTTTGCTGTGGGCGTTTTCGCCGCGAAGGTGATCAAAGCAGCTGCGAAATACATATTTGGTTTTGCCAACTCGCTGTTCCTATCAGCAGGCCGGAATTTCTTCTGGCTCTTTGAAAAGTGGAAATTGTGTTCCCAGTCGACGAGAACGAGCGCAAACGAACTCGGAGAAAATATTCCCGAGGTTCGCTTTTCACTCTTGACGCCGTCTCTTTGTGACTGCGTTACTTTGAAATGAAATGAGACGATCTTCACGAATACGAAAAATTGTACGGTCATAAACGTTCGATTGATCTTGCAGAAAATTCCATGCGTTTGTTTTGTACGTCGCGATTTGTATAATCGATTCTGCTAATGAATCGATGAGAAGCAAGTGCGATGAAGCGTGAATCTCGTGAATTTAATGCAGTGTCGTAATGAAATATGCAAACGACACAAAAAAGCGAAAGAAATAAAATGTTGTATTGAAAATATATATGATAGAAGTTTAATATAATCACAATGTTACATTCCGAAGAAATAACAAGATCATTATCCAGTCAAAGCATTTCTAGACGTAACTTTGCTCGATTTAACGAGACGAATCAGCGTCGGGTTATTTGGCGTAGCGGAATAATTGTCGCGTTTACATTTCTCATGAAACACGTATGTCTCGGTGATTCACAGTCGACGATAAACGTGGTCGAGTGTTAATTCATGCCGCTGGCAGTAAACCAGAATGGTCTTTAAAGCGTTTCTCAAGTCGGAGAGAATGTCGCAAAGTCAAAGAATAAAGCGCATAATTTTACAATATTTACGGTAATTATCTATACAAAACGTCTTTAAATCTTCTTCATAAATTATATAGTTATTTCTGATAGAGATTTTTCTTAACTGGAAATTGTGCGTTTCGTGAATTTATTTAGAGTGAGTTATAAATCTATTTTTTTTTTATATTTAAGTGTGATGTACAAAATGTCGTTACATTATTACAGTTAATACATAATGAAAGTGCTTGTTCATCTGATCGTATGAAAAATGTACACAGTTGTGCTCTATCAGGTTTTTCATTTTGATTAAGATATAGAAATCGATTTATAGTCGTTTTATAGTCGATTTTGTAGTCGATAAGAATCATTTTTAGAGGTGCCAGTTTTGTAATTTTCAAGTCTAAAATTTTATCATAATATAATTTCTCGATTCGATGTCATTTCACGACGGGGATCGCT